AAAAAAAAAAAAAAAAAAATTGTTCACACTGTTCTTATAGACAAATGGAAGCTCTGTCAACATAATCTTCTCAAGAGATTTTGAAAAAATTGGGAATCGAAAGAGATAAGCTCGAACTAGTGAAGACACACCTGGTTGGATTTGCTGGTGAGAAAGTCTACCCTTTATGCTCTATTGAGCTCATACTCACATTGGGGGACCCTCCTTGCCAAATGACTACAAGTATGAAGTTTCTTGTCATTTATGCACCATTTTCTTAAAATATTATCCTAGGGAGGCCATCCCTGAATGTAGTCAAGGCCATACCCTCAGCATACCAGCTCTTCATAAAATTTTTAATCGAAAATGGGGTAGGGTTGGTGAGGGGAGACTAGCGTACAGCTAGGGAATGTTAAGTACCCTCGATGGAGCAGAAGGAAGTGAATTCCATGTAAATAAGTGATCTTAATATGAGAGACAAGGTAGACACAAGGCCTACCCCCATCAAAAGAATTGGAACCTGTTCAAATAGATGAAGACCCGGAGCACCTAGTGTTTATGGGATCTAAATTGATAGACAACGTCAAGAAAAGTTCATGGAATTTTTTAAGAATAGCTTAGAAGTTTTCACCAGGAGATAGGAAAACATGCAAGGGATCGACCCCAAGGTGATCGTCCATAAGCTGAGCGTTGATCCAAGCTACAAGCCAATAAAATAGAAAAGGAGAAGCTTTGTTGTAAAGAGGCAAAGGGCAATTAATGAGGAGGTAACCCAATTATTCACTACTAAAGCCATAAGGGAAGTTGATTACCCGACGTGGCTAGCCAATGTGGTATTGGTAAAAAAAACTAATGAAAACTGGTGTCTCTATATCGACTTTATTGACCTTAACCATGCTTGTCCAAATGATAGTTTCCCCTTCCCTCGGATCGACCTCATTGTCGATTTCACGATAGACCACGAGTTGTTGAGTTTCATGGATGCCTTCTCAGGCAACAATCAAATCAAGATGGACCTAGAGGATCAAGAAAAAACCTCATTCACAATCGAGTAAAGTACTTTCTGCTACCAGGTTATGCCCTTTGGGCTCAAGAATATTAGAGCTACTTATTAGCGACTGTTGAACATAATGTTTATCGACAAGCTAGGGACTACGATGGAGTTTTACATCGACGACATGCTCATAAAATCCCTGAAAGCAGAGCTCCACATTTAGTACCTCGACGAATCATTTCAAATCTTTAGGAGATCCGAGATGAAACTTAACCTATCCAAGTGCACCTTCGAGGTCTCAGCTGGAAAGTTTTTGGGCTTTATAGTAAACCAGAGAGGGATTGAAACAAATCCTAAGAAGGTGAACGTATTAATCGACATGAACTCCCCTATTAATATCAAAGAGGTGTAGCGATTGACTGGAAGAATTGTCACACTCAGCTGTTTTATGTCACGATCTAGTGACAAGTGTTAGCCATTCTTTAAGATTCTTAAGAAAGACTTTCAATGGGATGGTCAATGCAAGGAAACCTTTCAAATTCTGAATTATTACTTGAGCTCTCCCGTGTTGCAAGACAGCCCGAAGGAAGGAGAAGTCCTTACCCTATAACTAGTTGTGTCGGACTTCTCAGTCAGTGCAGCTTTGGTCAAGGAGGAAAAAAATATGCAACAACTCATATACTTTTGCAGAAAAGCACTAAGGGGAGTAGAGGAGAGGTACCTAAACATGAAAAAATTAGTTCTAACACTAGTGACTACAACAAGAAGATCGAGGCCTTGTTTTCAAGTTCATATGATAAAGGTCCCAACCAACCAACCAATTAAGCAAATTTTGCACAAACTCGAGTCCTCAGGATGACTAATTAAATGGGCTATCAGGTTGGGAGAGTTCGACATCAGGTTTAAACCAAGAACAATGATCAAGGGACATATTTTGACTGACTTCCTAACCGAGTTCACCTCGACCCCAGAGCAAGGAAATGACCAAGGAGAACTAGGGTTTATCCCTTGACCTCCCAGTTTGAAAACTCTTTGTTGATAGTGCCTCCAACACACAAGGAAACAACATAGGTATTATCCTAACCTCCCTCAAAGGTATCAACCTAGAGTATGCCCTTAGGTTTGATTTCAAACCTCACATAATTAAGCAAAGTATGAAACTCTAATAACCGAGCTTAGATTGACGCATTCAATGGAAGCACATCAACTATTGATCCACAATGAATCTCAACTCATAGTAAGATAAGTGGAGTCAGAATACGAAGCTAGGGAAGATAGGATGGCTTCATATATGAGAGTTATGAAAGATCTCCTACAAAATTTTGTCCACATAGAGGTCATGTAAGTGCCTTAGGTCAAGAATATTCAAGTTGATTCTTTAGCAAAGTTAGCCTCAGCTACCTGGGGTAACCTCAACAGAATCGTTCCTGTGGAACACCTCAAGGAGCTGAGTATACACCTCGCCCTCGGGCCAGATGAGTTCTTGCCAGTAGATGACACATCGAGCTGGATAGACTCTTTTATTAACTACCTACATGATGAAAATCTTCCCCAAGACCCTAAGAAAGTAGCTAAGTTAAGAAATAGGTCATCAAGAGTCACATTGATTTAAGGAAAACTCTACAAGAGAGGATTCTCTACACCATTATTGAAGTGCGTTGCAACATAAGAGGCAAACTACGTACTAAGGAAAATTCATGAGGGCATCTATGGAAAATCACATTAAAGCTCGTACTTTAACATACAAGGCATTGAGGCAGGACTACTTTTGGGCCACTATGATGAAAGATGCTAAAGACGTGGTCAAAAGGTGTTTAACTTGTCCATTGCACGCAAATATCCCTCATTGACCACCAGAACAGCTCACACTAATAATAAGCTCTTGGCCTTTTCAACAATGGGGGATTCGTATTGTGGGATCTCTTCCCATAGGAGTAGGATAGTGTAAATTTGTCATGTTAGCAATTGATTACTTCATGAAATGGGTAGAGGTTGAGCCTTTGAAAACTATTACAAAGTAGAAGATTAAGAATTTTGTTAGAAAATATATTGTGTATAGATTTAGAATCTCAGAGCCATTGTGTCTGATAATGGCTAGCAGTTTGACAACTCAATATTCACAAATTTTGATTTAGAGCTCGACATAAAGAATTACTTCTCGGCTTTAGCTCATCCCCAGTCTAATGGTCAAGTAGAGGTCACCATATGAACAATCGTCAAAGCTTTAGAGACAAGGCTTCAAAGAGCCAATGGGTGGATTAACTCCCAAGTGTTCTTTGGGAATATAGGACGACAGCTTAAATAGCTACAAATAAAACTCCCTTCAGCCAAACTCCTAGTATAGAAGTCGTCACACTAGTGGAGATCGGGCTTCCTTCTCCCAAAGTTGAACTCTTCAACCTCGTCAAGAATGATTGATCTCTGCACGTGAACCTTAGCCTCCTCGAAGAAAAAAAAATGAGGTATTGCAAATGATCTCCTCTTACCAAAAGAGGACAATGTAGTATTACAATCATAAGGTCAGAAGTAAAAGCTTTTAAGCTGGGGATCTTATCTTAAAGAAGTTGTTACCAGCAATGAAAGAACCTAAGCATGGAAAATTGGGCTCCAATTGGGAAGAACCTTATGCAGTGAAAAGAGTCATTAGGCCAGACAATTATGACCTGCAGACTAAAGAGGGGAAAAACCTAGCTTGTTCATGGAACACAGACTACCTCAAGAAATTCTATCAATAGTATGGTCAGGTTGGATACTCCTAAATTTAAATCTTGTAAACACCTTTTCTTAAAGGACAATTATGAATTTCTGAAGTGAATAAAATTTTTACAAAATCTTAATATCAATATTCTTGAGTAAGCAAAATTTTTCCAAGTGTTGAGGTCAAACCAACGATGAGCTCTTTAACTTATGTTTGAGATAAGCTATTTAACTTATAGAGCATTTCAACTCATGCTAAAAAAGTGCTCTTCAATTCATGCTTGAGATAAGCTCTTCAACTTATAGAGCTTTTCAACTCGTGCTAAACTGAGCAGCTCATGCTTGAGTAAGCTCTTCAACTAATAGATCTTTTTAGCTCGTACTTGAGATAAACTCTTTAGCTTATAGAACTTTTTTAGCTCGTGCTAAAAATGAACTCTTTAGCTCATGCTTGAGATAAGCTCTTCAACTTATAGAACTTTTTAGCGTGTGCTAAAGACGAGCTCTTCAGCTAATGCTTCAAATAAGCTCTTTAGCTTATAGAGCTTTTCAGCTCATGCTAAAGATGAGCTCTTCAACTCATGCTTCAGATAAGCTCTTCAGCTTATGGATCTTTTTGGTTCATGCTAAACATGAGCTATTCAGCTTATGCTTCAGATAAGCTTTTCAGCTTATAGATCTTTTTTGCTTGTGCAAGATTAAGTTTTAATTACTGAAGTCCAAGGGGCCAATAGTAGATGAGACTTAGTCACGAAAAATATAAACATTGAATCACTACTACAAGGCTAACGTCTTTCAATAAGTGATTAGGGGCAAGACAAACATCAATATCTAGCACAAGAAGGAAAAGAAGCTGCATATGTCATTTTTGAAAAGTGATTACAAAAAAGAGTGCAATAGACTACTAAACCTTGTTGGCTTATGGCCTAGTTCATTTCCTACTCAATTCGTCTAGTTGTAGCTTCAACAAGGCATTCTCCCTAACTAGTTTATCCTTTACAAGCTCTGCAAGAAGAAGGCCCCCTTCTTTAGGACCAGTTCATGCTTTAGGATAAGTTTAGAAATGGAAGAACTCTCATCATCAAAATTAGCAGATGGAACAGACGAGGATGATGACCCTCGTAACCTCTTCCCAGAGGAACGAATATTCTCCTCTCTAGCTCTTTTATTTTCTCCAAAAGCTTCTACAATAACCTCTGGGATAGGGGTCAACACTAACCTGAACCTGAAGAGGTTCTGAGTAGTAATCCAGTCGTTAAAGGACCACAATGCATATATAGTAATACCAAGTATTCGAACATGCTCAGTCGGAGATAGCTCAAGGACTTCTTTTTCAAAATCCCAAACAATGAAGGTTAGCTCCAGTAATAAGCAGGAGACTTGATAGTAGAAATAGAAAGGTTTACACACATTTACCCATATTTGAGGGATGCCCCCCCAGTAACGGGGGACTCAAAGAGCCTCAACAACCTCCCCCTTGAATTCCCAAGTGTCTCTAGAGTCAAAGAGGAAGAGTTGACCCAACCTTTTGAAGGGATAGGAAGATCTATAACTTTAATCTCCCTAAGCAAAATAAGAAAAGCCAATAGGATAAGCGAGAGCTAGATGAAAAAAATGAAAAAATTTAGGAACGAAAGGAAAATTGTCATTGTCATGTAGAAGCCAAAAAAATGAAAAAACCCACCGAAAGTCCCCATCCATCTGGTAAAAGTTTAGAGGGGCACAAGTTAAAGAAGTAGAAAACTTGTCTGATGGAAGAAGGCATAGGGAACCTAATTCGAGCCTCGAAAGCTGACTCAAAAAAGCAGATCTTCCTCCATAAATATAGGTTACAAGGTTGATGTTTAGTAGGAGCGTGGATAGTAATGCTGACAAAAAACATATAGCGTTCCTTAATGGCCTCCACCTTAACCTTAGAAATGCTACTAGGAACCATAAAAGCGGTCTTGCTCGAAGCCTCCAAGGAAAACAAAGCACACATTCTAAACTCTAAGGAAAGTGAGACGTTCAAGTTGTCAAAAAGGAAAAAGAAATTTGTTCAGACAAACAGACTACAAGATAAGAACAAGTGTGAAGGGACATTTGTAGTTTTAAAGCCAAGAATGACGATGGTTCACTTTCCCTAGAGATGTTCAACATAATGGGAGGGTAATAATTGGGAAGCAATCATGATGAACCTAGCATTGAGGGGATGAATTAACCCACAACCCTAGGTGCCTATTCAGCTCCATGACAATTTGATGATGAAAAAAAGGTACTAACTGTCAAAATTATAACTTTTCAATATTTGTCACAAATCAACTTAGACGAATAGAAACTTCACTGAAATAGGTCATATACTCATTAAGAAATGCTTCAAGGATTATAAAATGAAAATTTTTAACAACGAGTTACAAAATTCTTGAGCACAAAAGGTGTGCTCTTCAATTTATACTTGAGATGAGCTTCTCAGCTTATGGACGTTTTCAACTCATGCTAAAAGTGATCTTTTTAGCTCGTACTTGAGATAAGCTTTTTGGCTTATAAAGATTCTAGCTCTTACAAAGTCTAGCCATACTCTAAGCCACCAAGTCCGGGGGGCTACCCATAACTAGAACTTAGTGGTTAGAATCATAAAGGATATCACTACTACAATGCATTCTCCTTTTAGTAAGTGAAGGGGCAGAGATGTATAGGTACTTTTGCAAAAGGAAAAAAGGAAAGGAAATTTAAGTTCCATTATAGAAAAAAGGAAGAGTTACAAGTTTTAAAAAAAAATTACCAGTCCCAAAACAAGGAAAGCATGAAGAGTCTTCTGAAGATGACATATTAACTTGCTAAGTCAGCTCCCTTAGTGTGATGCTCAGACCCTTTTAGGTGCAGTAGGAGCAGTCGAGGTATCAAGAGGTTGTTCAACATCAGATAGTTGCTTCTTTAGATCTCCTTCAGCTCAACCCTCTTCATCTTTGCCAACTGACCCTGTAGGCAGAGGAGGAATGAAAGAATCGAAATCCATATTAGGGAAATTCCCAATGGCCTGGTCTCTAAAGTCCTCATACCAACTAAAGTAGTTATCAACACATTCGACCCTTAAATCCTTAATTGTCTGGTCCTTTGCCTTCAGAGTAGGCTTCAACCCCTTGAGCTCCAATTTCAGCTCACCTATCTCTTGATCCTTGGTTTTCAACGATGACCTCAAAACCTCGAGCTCTAGTTTCAACTCAGATGCCTCCTGCCAGTTCTTTCTTTTTTAGACTTGGTAGAGTCCATAACACCAACTATCTGGCTCAATTTTGCCCCTTCTATTTCAACTTGTCTTCTATAGTACTCTCTAAAGACTTTAGCAAGGCAATTTGGGAGGTCTACTCCTCCACCTTCTTATGTGCATTGATAATCTTTGACTAGCAACCTTCTCAGTCATGTTAACTCTCGAAAGCAATGATATGAACAACAACCTACAAGAGGTAAAAGAAGAATTGAGAGAGTAATAAATGAGAAAAGGGAAGGTAGGAGCTTGAAAAAAAAAATTAGAATAAATACCGTTTTAGCACTGTGAAGCGCATTCACAACCTCGTCATTAGCATTAAGAGCAGCTAACCTCTAGATGTCCAATCGTGGCAAGATACCCAACAACTTGGAAGCTGCCAGACAAGTGTTACTTAAGATATAACCCTCCTCTTTCGTAGGAGTGGTGGAGGTCAGCTTCAAAGGAACAGCTAAAATAACTACAAAGGTTGATGTTGGTAGAGTTGGAGGAGCACCAAATTATTTGGGAGCATCAAGAGGAAGATCAGTAGTAAGTAGGCCTCCTTCATTGGTCAAAATAACCTCAAGAGCCAGTGGTGGTAGAAGTAGAGGAGCATTGAGCTCCTTAAAAGTTGTTGAACCCTTGTTGATGGTCGAAGTGACCTTGGGGGTCTGATCTCCCTCAAGGAGATCAAAAGTTTCCATCCCCTCAATCCTAAGGACCTTAAATCTAGTATTGAGGGGAGACGTGGGATCAAGGGGCTTGGTCAAATTTTTTTTTATCCATTTTCCTCTATATGGCCTCTTAAACCTCGTCCAATTTAGGTGCCATGGGGTTAGTATATCTACGGAGAATGATAAATGAGATCAGAAAAGCACGAGGAGGAACAAAAACCAAAATGAAAAAATATGCCATGTTTTGAACTCATACCAGTAAGTTCTTGCCGATCTCTAGGAGTTAAGTCTTCATCTGGAAAGGGGATAAGTCTTCTAATGGGAACTGGAAGCTTTTTGGACACTGGATGTTCGAAGTCGGGCTTTGGTAGCTTCTGAGGAGAGATGATCTCCTTGATAGTCCTCGCTTCATGCTTCTTTATCCTTGCAACCTTGAGCTCTTCAGTGGGAGTCAGCTCAAGTAGGTGTTTTTCCATGTAACAAAGAAATTTTTTCCATTAACATTATAGTAGATAAATCATGCCAAAAATAAAACCCTGCTAGAGGAAAAACACCCATTCAAATTGTTGGGCTCCCCCTAGAGCTTGGGGACACGAAGATCGTTAGAATTATCATTGGGATCCTTCTCCCAAGAATCACCTGAAACATATAAGAAGTGTTTTTTTCTAGATTTTATGAGAAGAAGGGACCATTTAGAGATATAGAAAAAGCCATTTGTCGGGGAGCACTTGATATTAAAGAAGTGGAGGAGCTTGGCCTAGGTCTTTCTCTCTCTAGAATACAAGAAGGCCAACTAATGTCCCCCAAAAGTTGGGAGACATCCTCATGGGGCAGATGTTGAAATAGCAAAGAAATGATGCAAGGGAAACCTAACACCTGACTCAAATGCCGAGACGAAAAAGCAGGTCCTCCCAATTAGAAACACGTTATAACGATCTATGTTCGAGAGGTTGTAAACTGTAATGCTAGCAAGAAATTGGTAGCAATTAATCAAAAACTAGAGTATACGCTTAGTAACATGACTCTAGGAAGAAGGCGTGAAGGACCCTTGCAAATCTCCAGATCTATTTGAGGTGCTGACCTCACTTGAGGGGGAGGCTCGGGAAGATTTAGAACCTGAGGGAGAAGCTCAAGAAGGTTTGGTAGCCCTCTTCTTAGGAGCCCTCTCTTCGGGTGCTTTCATGAAGAGAAAATGGGGAGCTCTCCTTTAAGTTGAGCTCATCACCCGAGGGACCACGGACGAAGGATTCTCATCCTCATCTATGTTTAGCAACTCCCTTTGGAAAGTACACTCAACTTCAGGAACCTCGTTTCCATCCCTAAACATATGTGAGGTGGAAGACCCAATAGCTCCAGAAAAAGTTCCAAACATTGCTAAAATTAGGGGTATGAAATAATCTAGCTTGGAATAAAAGTAAGGGGATATTCCTAGAGAGCAATCCTCAATAGCATGAGGGTCTAAGCACCAATGACCATGGAGAAAAACCCTAGCTATGACAAAGGGGTCTAACAAGAAGGGGATAGCTACTAAGGATCTACCTAGACCCCTAAAGTATAAAACATGAAGCACTAAGAAGTGGAGTCCTTGAGACCACCACTGAAGATCAAAGTAGTCCAAGCTTGATACGAGGAAGTTAAAAGAAAGAGGAAAACATGACTAGAAGACAAAGATGGTAGGCAAAAGCAGGGAACTTAGATGTGAACTAGACAAGCACCGAAGAATCTAGCTCCAAAACCTCTTGGACTGTTCGAATCCCCAAATCAATTCCTCTCAAGAACGCTCAATGGATCACTAAATCATAGAAGATCTGGGGAAGAAAGGGTTTAGGAGTTGAAGAGTTTGAGTAAATAGGGAAATTGAATTGAAAGGGGGTTTGAAAAGAACTTTATTTTGCAGTTTTCTTTCTATCTCTCTCTGTACACATTAAAAGCATTTGCACGCACTCCACGTGGCACGAAGTAATTAGCACAACCCAAATTATGAGGCATTTCTTATGCCCCACACCTGCACGGTGCTGTGATCCCAGTGAAACCGTATTATCATGTCTTTTCAACCATCCTAAGCATTATGTGTTCGATATAAAGAGGAGTAATGCCTCAAAGAGATAAAGAACTCAATCCCGAGCTACACGCAAGATAGGCAGGTTGAGCTCAAGACTAGGGGGCAACTGATGATACCCAAAAATGGCATCATAAGTAAATAAAATGAGATCAGGACAATGGGCTATGAAAAAATGTTATAGATACGGTCTATTCCCCCGACCTTTTGATCAAACATCCATCCTCATAAGGAAAATTATGGTCACTTGTCTACATCCTGTGTTAAAGGAACCCAGATCAACCGTTAATGATCTCAAGTATAGGTGCCTAGGTTTTCTATGCTGCATGATGAGGAGAATCAACTTTTTTAGCTCAAGACAAATGTTTGTACCGGGCTTCCCTATTCACGAATTGGCTGAAAAGACCAGAAGGTCATTCCAAAACAGTACGACCTCACAACGGAATCTTCTAGAGATATGGAAGATCACAACGCATCTGGGCACGAAGACAAATCATGAGGCCATCTCAACTTGTTCTAGAAGATCACATCACACCAATAGCCTTCACCATGTAAAGGCGTCTAGAAAAATCCGACAAATTGGGCAAAAATATAACCCTATCTTCTTCTCCAAGTAATATATAATTCCTCCAATGAGTAGGAGACTCCATTAGAGTGGATTAGTCAAACTCTTTAGCTAGTGAACCACTATAGCTTGTGTTTTCTTTCCTTTATTTAGCTTTTACCCTTGTTTTCCAATTACTGTAACACATTAAAGAGCCATCAGGTACAATCATCAGATTGATCTCATCTCCATTAAATCAATTGCACACCATTGTTCACAAGCCTTGAGTGCTTCAGCTTAAGCATCCTTCTCACGTTTTGAGTTCATACACTATCACATTTCATTTTTCCCAAAGCCTTTAAGTACATATTTGTTTTATGCTGGTATGTATCTATGTATAATAACTTCATTGCAAAATTTAATGTTATTTGTTTGTATTATTTGTAGTATTAAATATTGGAGAAGTTGGAACTTGGATAATTTATAAGTATTTGATGCTTAATTGTGACTTGTATTTTCTATTCTTTGCTTAGAAAGATTTGTGCTCATGTTGTCACTTCGATAAAGCTCTTGCTTCGGCCCTTGTTCGGGTCTCAAGGGATTTTAACAATTTAGTTCATCACTATATATTATCTGCATAGAGAAAATAATCATAAAGTTGTCATGATTGGGAGGGAGCTCTCAAATTGTTGTCTTCACAATCAGTTTAGCTTTGGTTTTTGCAATGTTTCTCCTCCATCCATTGTACTTGTACCCCCAAAGATTTGCCACATTTGTACTTAGGGATTCCTCATGCATCGGAAGCAACAAACGAAGACTTGCCTGAAAGCCAGAATGATTTTTCATGTTGACGCGCACCCTTCTCTATTTGACTCGCTCTGTTTACTGTGCTCACCATTCTCGCAACTAGTTCATGTAAGGTAGTAGCTTCTGGTCTTGCAGTTGGGGAGGTGTTGGTTCTTAAGTCGGATAACCCTTGCCTTTGTTTACGACTAGCATTGTCGTACTTAAAAATTCTGTCTTTCGAAAGGGATCCTATAGTATTGAAACAGTGCATATTATACCAGATTGATCTATGCTTGATTTGTTTCATGACTTATCCCTCCTATGTTAATGAAAGCTCAATTACCAAAAAAGTTGTTGCCTAAAATGGAAAACTATCACCAAAACAATTGAAAACACACCACCAAAACACCAAAAACCCACCACCACCACCCCTGTTTAGCCACCACCAAACCCACCAGCTACACCCCTGGAAACCCACCACCAAAACCCCTAAAAATGCACCACCAAAATTACTGAAAAGTCACCACCAACACCATTAAAAACTCACCCCCCCAACCATGGAAAAATCACCAAAATCAACACTAAAAACTCACCCCCCCAAGGCTCGAAAACCCACCACAACCACCTAACCCACCACTAGCACTCCTAAAAACTCAACACCAAACCACCGCCTGAGCTTGAGAGAGAGATCTGAGATGAGGAAACCCATCACATAACCATCAATTGAGATGAGAGAAAGAGATCTATGATGAGAAGCCTCCATTTCGTCTTCGTGGGAAAGCTTCAGTACTACCTTTGTCTTCGTGGGACACTTCGATTTCACAGAGAGAGATACGAGGAGTATCAGGTTTTCAGAGAGATTGAGACAGAGAGATGAGAAGCTTCGATTTGAGAGAGAGAGAGAGATGAGGAGGAAAAGTGATGAAAAAAGAGGAGTAAATGGGTTTTTTATAGCTATCATAAAATATCCTACATTTTGTTCTTAAGGGGATTCGAGTGATGGATCTCATTAAAAGGGGTCTCCTATGGGTGCACGTGTTTTCGTTTTTGGGTGTTTATAAAAACACTTTTTTCTATGTTTGTATTTTTGGGCTTTGTTTTTAAAACACAGTATCCTAAAAAAAAATAAAAACACACTCCAAACATATTTTTATTTTTTATTTTGATAAAAATTAAAAACAAAAACAAAAAAAAAACAAAAACCGCTGATTACCAAGCATTACCTTAGTCAAGCCTTAAAAATTTCAACTTTAGGATCCTCTCTCAGTTCTGTCAGGCCCTCAAACTCTCATTCCTTTCCCCTTCTTTGCCCTAAACTTCCGCCCCTCCAGCAGTGGCTTCTCTCTCCCCCATTCTCCTCTCTCTCCATCTATCTTCTCCTTGCCTGCGATAACCCTGCAGCCAGTCAGCGACGCAACCAGGTATCTCCCCCCTCTCTCTCCCCCAAGCACACGCATAACATATACACAACGTACACATACCCACACACACAATACACACACAATGCACACACTGCGCGCGCGCACACACTCACTCATCCTCACACACAACGTACACACAGGGCACTCTCACTACTTACACAAGCACAAGATGTCCCAAAGGTGTTCGACCAAATGCCACAACTTCTCTTGCTCTCCCTTTACGCACACCCACCCACACACAAACACACGCGCACAACGACGACACACACACGCGCTGGGCACACATCTACACAAACAGAGCACCTTCAATTAAGGCATGGTTGGGCATCCAACATTTTACTGCTTTGGATCACCTTTAATTTGGTTTAAAAAACATTGCAGCTCTTGATTTAATGTATTGGTCATGCTATATTATCAAAAATTCTTTTGAGTACCGTGCCGCCAAATGAATGAGGGCCACTGATCCATCATTGAATGAGTTATAGTTGTTGATAAAAAAAACCTTTACCATCTGAGGGCCACTGATCCATTATTGAATGAGTTATAGTCATTGATAAAAAAAAAAAACCTTTACTATCTCACCTTTTACCAGCTACCCGCCCAGTGAGTAACATAAGGGATTGTTCCCTATGTTTTGTTATTGATCAACCCTCATGGATTGACCAC